CGTCTGCTGCAGTCTCTAACGGAAGCTTCGTGTTATTTTTCACGCCGTCTCTCCCAAGCCTTGATCGGGGGTGGCCAGCAGTCTGTGTGTTGGGTACTGGACGTCACGTCTGAAGAGCCTGGCTTGCTCAGTGCTCACCATCATCATAAGAGCCGGGGGGGGGGGGGGGGGTGTTACACACACCTCCCAGATGAGGAGACCGAGGCGCGGAGAAGTTAATGCGCTTGCCTAGGGACACCACCGGCTGGTTGTGGGGCCAGTTTTTTGTTTTTTTGTGTTTTTTTTGACAGGCAGAGTTAGTGAGAAAGAGAGAGAGAGAGAGAGAAAGGTCTTCCTTCTGTTGGTTCAACCCCCAAATGGCTGCTACAGCTGGCGCGCTGCGCCAATCTGAAGCCAGGAGCCAGGTACTTCCTCCTGGTCTCCCATGCGGGTGCAGGGCCCAAGCACTTGGGCCATCCTCCACTGCACTCCCAGACCACAGCAGAGCTGGACTGGAAGAGGAGCAACCGGGACAGAACCGGCGCCCCAACCAGGACTAGGGGTGCTGGTGCCACAGGCGGAGGATTAGCCAACTGAGCCGCGGCAGTGGGGGCAGGATTTGTACCCGGGCGGTGTGACTTGGGGCGAGTGCTGCACATGATTCTGTCACCTCCCCCGCCTTCGTGGCATTCTGCAGGGTGGCGGTGCCCCAGGCCGCATGGCCATGGCAGCCTGGAGCTCTCCTGGGGTCTCCCCAAGGATGGGTTTTCCTCTGGGTGGACGGCGTTGTCTGCCTTGTTTCCGGGGCAGTAGGTGCTTCCCTTTCATTGAAGCTGACTGTCCTTGATCATCTGTCCTCTGTGTGAAAGCTGCCTCCCTCCCTCTCCAAGGTGACCTTCTCCCCACCCCCAGCCCGGGCCTGCTGAGTCGGCTGTAACCCGACCCCGCCTGGACTCCCAGGTCCACCCCACTGGGAAACCGGAGCTGGCCAGGGATCACTGCTCTGCCCTTTGAGGCACCACCGCCCTTGGCAGGAGGGGCTGCCTGGGATTGGCAGGTCAGCCCAGCCCTGCGGCCAGCACCCTCTTCCCGCAGTGGGGTCAGGGAGTCAGGTGGAGCCAGCCTCGCCTTCTGTTACGAAGGCACCCCTGCCAGGCGTCCCCCTTTCCACCTCAGGCAGCCTTGTTGCCGCCTCCTGGGCTGAGTTGGGCTGTGAGTGACGCCACCTCACCGCTGCCCCCCGCCAGTTGCTGGCAGATTGTTCCTTTCAGGACAATTCCCAGGGGCCCCGTGAGTGCTGCACGGTTTCCCTCTTTCTCCCTGTCTGTCAGGGTGTCAGCAGCTTTGGTCCTCAGAGGCCAAACCAGACCTCAGCCCTTTCGGACCGCCTTGAATGCCTGTGTCCCGGGAGCCTGGCAGAACCACCTCCTCTGGGAAGCCTCCCTGGCTTCCTGTGCCCAGCACTGGGCTCCCTCTGTGATCCTGGGTGGGACTCCTTCACGTGGCCCCAGTAGCACACTCTGTGGGACAGGGACTGTGGCTCCTTTATGCCTCTGAGCTGGGCCTGGGCCGGGCCGGTACAGGAGAGGTCCTTGGTGTGTGTGTGTAAAGACAGCAGAATTGCAGTGTTACATTCTGTGTGGTGTTAGCCCAGCCTAAAATACACTTCCACACCCTCTCCCTATCTGTTCAGCCTCAGCCACAGATGGGTGAGGTCACTGCCACGGTCAACTTCCTTACGACGCTTCCTGCACTGGCCTCTCCTCTCAGGACATGGGCCACACTGTGTCCGCATCGTGTAGACCGCCCTGAGTTCTGTGTCTGTCTTCATGGATCAGACTTTGACCAAAGCCTTGAGGAGCTTTAAGGATTAACCCGTCCTAAATCTCTGTGCGTGGCTGAGGCGAGGGAGGGCCAGAGACAGGACATGGTCCGCGGTGCTGGCCTGTTCATCCCAGCAGCCGCCACTGCCCTGTGGCTGCAGCCAGTTCTGACCTGAAGGCAGGACTCCTGGTGCCTTGCTGCATCCACTGGGCAGATGCCTAGCCCAAGGGGGAGGCCCTGGGGTTTCTGTGGTGCCCCAGGGAGCCGGCCCACCGTTCAGTCAGTCCTGTTAGGTCACAGAGCCTGTTCCATCTCTGATCTCGTCTGTTTCTCCCAGCAGCCAGGCATCGGGGCATAATTCCTTCTAAAGATGAGCATAAAATAAACTCTTGCCTGTCCCAGACACTGTCGCCTGGCTAAATACACGTTCTCTTTGGTCATCATGATCCAGGGAGCGAGCCCTACTGCCAGTGCCAGCTGTTTGTTCTGGAAGAAACTGACACCTGGAGAGCAGACCTGACTTGCCCAGGGTCCCCTAACCACTCGTAGGCCCAGGGTGCGGGGCTCAGGGCTCAGGCAGCCTCCAGTGTCCGGCCCTTCTCATCTAACGTTTTGAGGAAAATCCACCCCCGACCCCGCCTCTGCCAGCCAAAGGCCTTCCAAGCTGAGAGCAGGGCCTTGATGAGGGGACACTGGGACAGGATGGGGACGGGGCAGGCGGTCGGTGCTCTTGGAGTGCTCACGTCAGTCCTCGGGCACCTCCAGGATGCTGGGAGCGGGCAGACATCCCCTGCACTTCTTTCCCACGGAGCAGTGGAAAAGCTCATGGCTCTGTGTCCCACTGAGTCCCCAGACTGCTCCCTAGGTGCCCTGTGCGTCCACCCTGGTGAGGAGCCAGAGAGGCGCGCTGCACACCCTGGACAGTCTCCCGTGCAGGCAGGGAACGGCATCAGGGGCATCTCAGTGGCCACGGTAGTCCCTGGGCCCCTCACGGGGCAGACTCAAGTGTGCCTGCTTGTCTGGTTCTTGGCACATCCTGGGGCCTGGATGTGTTGCTGTGAGGACACTGAGGCACAGGGAGGCGTTCACAGGCCGAAGCCATGCAGCAAGCACTCCAGAAGCTCGTCATGGACCCACGTTGCCTGCCTCCCGAGACGTGGGCTCTTCCTGCCACACTGGAGATGGCTGGCGTTACACAGGGCAGCTTCGCAGAGCCCATCTGGCCTTTACCGCATTCCCTGCTGAGAGCCTCTAAGCTTAAGATCTTGGGTTCTTTTTCAGATCATTCTGGAAAATTATGCATATCCTGGGGTTCTTCTGATCGGCACTGACTCCCACACCCCGAACGGTGGAGGCCTGGGGGGCATCTGCATTGGAGTCGGGGGTGCTGATGCCGTGGATGTCATGGCTGGGATCCCCTGGGAACTGAAGTGCCCCAAGGTGAGGGACAGGGAGGGGCCCATTCAGGGCTGGCTGGGGGGGGGGCAGGGATGATTTGGGGGTGGGGAACGCAGACAGGACGTGGGAACAGTTCGGACTGAGATCTTTGGTGGGAAGGAGGCAGGGATGAACAAGCAGAAGTGGGAATGGCCGCAGGTCCCGCCCTGCCTTCCGGCCGGAACGTGACCACAGGACCCGTAACTGCTGTCTTGTCCTGTGTCCTCCAGGTGATTGGCGTGAAGCTGACGGGCTCCCTGTCTGGTTGGACCTCCCCCAAAGATGTGATTCTGAAGGTGGCCGGCATCCTTACAGTGAAAGGCGGCACAGGCGCCATCGTGGAGTACCACGGGCCCGGCGTGGACTCCATCTCCTGCACCGGTGAGGAGGGTGACGGGTGGCAGGCTCTTGCCCTGTGCTCGGAAGTGGAAGCCGTGAGTGGCTGGGCAGGTTGGGAACTGGGGTTAAGCACGTAGAGGGTGAAGGAGGTCGCAGACAGCCTGAGAGATGGTCTGTCAAACATGGTGAGATGGAGGCCTCGGAGGCACGTGACTTCCTATGGCTGCGCAGAGTTGGGCCACGCCAGCTTCTGCTGCGCCCTGGCCGTGGCCCTGGTGGACAGTGGTGGTGCTGCAGGCCCACATCGTCCCGTGGCCGGAGTCTGAGCCTTGCTTACTTCCCCCTGCCTGTACCCACGAGCAGGTGGGAGCTGGTGCCTTCCTGCCCTTCCCTGCCAGTGTCAGGCCTCGGGAGTCCAGGGAGACGCGGGCTGGTCCGGATGCCTCAGCCCACAGAGCTCCTGTGCCTCTGCAGTGATGGGGCTCAGCTGGGAAGTAGCTGACAGGCCATGCGCATGTCCCCGTGTCTGTAGAGGGCGAGGACACCTGTGAGCCTGGCCAACTGTGTGTGATGCCCGTGGCCCAGACAATGGGTGTCGCCCCATCTTCACTGCCGGGGAACCTGTGACGTAGCACCCCTGTAGACAGAAAGACCTGGCCCTCGACGTCAGCACCTGCACTCATTTGCTCTGTGGCCTGACCTTGGACGTGTCTGAGCCAGCTCCCTCACCTGTGAAATGGACACAGGAGCAAATGAGCAGGTGTGGCCAGGCAGCCTTCAGTGCCTGGAGGCCGGCTGATGGGCTGAGCAAGGTCGCTGGGCCCAGAACTGGAACTTAGCCGTGGGTGCTCGGCCCAGCAGTAGCTGCTCCGACAGCCGGGACGCAGAGCCCTGGCCGCAGTGCCTCCCATCACTGGTGTGCTGTGAACCCTGGGCCTCCAGGAACAAGTCTCTGCTGTGAGACAGCTCCCTGGTGAGAAGCGGGGTTGGGGACACCCACGCCAGCACTGCACCAGCCCATGGACGCTCTTCCTCCACAGGCATGGCGACCATCTGCAACATGGGTGCAGAAATCGGGGCCACCACTTCCGTGTTCCCTTACAACAACAGGATGAAGAAGTACTTGAGCAAGACGGGCCGGGCAGGTGAGCAGGCTGGGCCAGGGGTGTGGGTGCCACAGGCACGGTGCCCCCGCTCCCTGGGAGACAGAGCTGCGCCAGGGTCCTACACTGGTCTCTCCACGGGGCTCAGAGGCTCCAAGAAGCACCTGAAGGTGTATGAGGAGTTGGCTGCGTGTGGCTCTCCTGCTTCTCCAAGGATCTAGGTTTGAGGGATCCTGGAGCCGGGATTGGGATTTACTTTCTTTTTTTTTGACAGGCAGAGTGGACAGTGAGAGAGAGAGACAGAGAGAAAGGTCTTCCTTTTGCCGTTGGTTCACCCTCCAATGGCCGCCGCGGCCAGCACGCTGCGGCCGGCGCACCGCGCTGATCCGATGGCAGGAGCTAGGAGCCAGGTGCTTTTCCTGGTCTCCCATGGGGTGCAGGGCCCAAGCACCTGGGCCATCCTCCACTGCACTCCCTGGCCACAGCAGAGAGCTGGCCTGGAAGGGGGGCAACCGGGACAGAATCCGGCGCCCCGACCAGGACTAGAACCCCGTGTGCCGGCGCCGCTAGGTGGAGGATTAGCCTAGTGAGCCGGGGCGCCGGCCCGGGATTTACTTTCACCTGGCAGTGGCTGACCCTCTTGGCCTGGTCCCTGGTGCCCCCTACAGGAAGCTCCAGTAATGACATGGAGCTCTTCTGTATAAATTCCTGCCACCGCAGAGAGGAGGAAGGGAAAGTCTCCCCCACAGCTTCCCTGAGGGTCTGGCTTGGCTTCTTTGAAGCTTGGCAGAGGAAATAAGGTGTTGGGACCTGTGAGGGGAGGTGGAGGGGTGCACGGGGGTCGTGGGAGAGCCCCGAGCACATGGCCTCGTGCCTGCAAGCCCCTCACTCTGTGAGGAGTGCCTTCTGGAAACGGCTGTGCTACTCCAGGAAGCCCTCCCCGCCATGCACCTCACCCTGCGTCCCCACCTTCCTGCGCCTGTCCTGTCACTGTAGCTTTGGGCTTAGCTCCGTCACCGCATCCTGAGCCCTTGTGGGAGACAGGGCGTGTGCTGGGCGTTACCCCGTGGTGGTCTCAGCACCAGCTGAGCACTGCCCGGCTCTGACGGATGGCTGGGTGGGATCTCAGGATGGCTTCCGGGCTGCCCTCTTCAGCGCCCGCCCCCCGCCCTTGCTGTTTCAGACATTGCCAGTCTGGCTGAGGAGTTCAAGGACCACCTTGTACCTGACCCTGGCTGCCATTACGACCAACTGATTGAAGTTAACCTCAGTGAGGTGCGGAAGGGACTTCTTGAGGGTGGGGACGCTGCCTTCTCCGCACTGGGGACCCAGGGCTCACGGTCCCTTGGTTGCCCAGTGCACCTGCGGACTGCTGCCTGGGGAGGTGGGCGGGGGGCGGAGGCAGAATAGGTGTCAGCTTGCTCCTGCTTCAGCTGCCGCAGGCAAGACTGCGTCCTGGAGGGTTCGTGTTGTTTGTCACTTTATTATCAGAGTTCAGAGGGCAGAACTCAAGCAGGGCTTGCCGTCCTGAGGCCTGCAGACCAGAAAGAGCGTGCAGAGGGCCAGGAGGGCTGTGTTACAGAGTGTGCGGCCTCACACCTGGTGGGCCTCACTTTATCACGTGCAAAACCTAAGGCCGTTGTGAGCTTAATGAGCTAATGCAGGTAGTTAGCAGCTGGGCCATCTAACCAGCGTCTGCGCTCTGCCAGGCACTTCTCAGTGATCTGGATTTGTTAATATTTTTTCACAAAAAGATTTATTTGAAAGATAAAGCAGGAGAGCAGGAGAGGCAGAGATCTTCCATCCTGGCTCCCTCCCCAGAGGCCCACGACGGCCAGGGCTGGGCCGGCAGCTCCACCTGGGCTCCCACATGGGTGTGGGCCTGCCAGGTGCATTAGCCAGAACTCAGACCATGTGCTGCAGTACGGGTGCAGGCACCCCAGGTGGCAGCCTGCCCCGCTGTGCCACAGCGCCCACCGCTATTAGTGAGTACTGTCAAATTCAGTAGTTTATTTCAGCAAAGGAAAACAAAAATAATTTGTGAAGCGAGTAGTTCCCAGAAGCACAGGTTCTGAGAACTCTGACAGCATGTATAGAAAACAACACAGCTGGCTGCCTGCTTACTCACCGATAGCGTGATCAGTTAATTGGCCGCAAGGCCTTCTGCAGGCAGCCAAAGCTTGGTTACCTGACTGGCCTGCACAGCAGTGTCACAGGCAAGCCTCCGGCCTCAGGTGAGATTCCAAAACAACTTAGGACTTAGGAGCAGGTGACCTTGATCCCTCCCTTGCCTCTGCCATCTCCTAGCTGGGTGACCGTCACCTCTGACCTGGCCTCTGCCATCTCCTAGCTGGGTGACCTGTCACCTCTGACCTGGCCTCTGCCATCTCCTAGCTGGGTGATCGTCACCTCTGAGCTTCAGCTTCTGGAGAGCACAGATCAGCCCAGCCTGGGAGGGTTGGAGGGGTCTCAGGAGCTGGTGCACACACAGCGCCACCTGCTGGGGGGTGGCTGGAGTGAGGTCTGAGCCCTGAGAACAAGGACTTGGCCTCTCTCTGTAGGGTCCTGGTAAGGCTGTGAACAGAGACTGCCCACGCTCTAACCCAGTTCCCTCCTCTTCCTCTCTGTTCTTTGATTCTTCAGCTGAAGCCGCACATCAATGGACCCTTCACCCCCGACCTGGCTCACCCTGTGGCAGAAGTGGGTGCCGTGGCAGAGAAGGAAGGGTGGCCCCTGGACATCCGCGTGGGTGAGCTCCCAGACCCCAGAGCTGGCCATTCGCCTGTGCTTACCATGTGTGCTTTCTGAGATAAGATTTGTTGTTACCTAAAACATTACTGTTTTTTTTACACATAAAATCTATTTGAAAGGCAGAGGTTGAGGCAGAACTTGCATCTGCTGGCTCACTCCCCAAATGCTCACGGTGGCCGGGGTTGGCCAGCCTGAGGCCAGGAGCCAGGAGCTCCATTCTGGTCCCCGAGCACTCAGGCCATCCTCCACTGCTTTCCCAGGCACACCAGCAGGGAGCTGGATCAGAAGTGCAGTAGCTGAGACTTGAGCCAGCGCTCTGATGTGGGATGCAGCTTAACCCACTGTGCCACAGCGCCAGCCCCTGAAAAAAGGCTCCGATAACAAAGCGATAATAAAGCTCCGGGAAATACTAGGAAGCATAAACAGGGGAACTGGTCACCTGCCGCAGCGCCTCCCCAGCAGTGATCACCGTTAGCAGCAGCGTGTGCTGCATGTGCACGTGACGCTGCTGTGAACACGGGCTTCATTCGCACTGTGACCTGTGTTCAGGTCGCAGTGGCTACAGCAGCTTCTCTCCCATGACTGGTCACAAATGGCCTTGCTTTGTTGTTGGCTACTTGAGCGGCTTCTAACAACAGTCTCTGGCCCAGCCCCGTCGGCGAATGCTTTTGGAGCAGGTCTGGGTAGTCTGAGGTCAGGGGAAGACCTCTGGTCACTGTCCCCTGCTGACCCCTAACCTCACACCCGTAACGCGCCAGGTCTCATCGGCAGCTGCACCAATTCAAGCTATGAAGACATGGGGCGCTCAGCAGCTGTGGCCAAGCAGGCCCTTGCCCACGGGCTCAAGTGCAAGTCCCAGTTCACCATCACGCCGGGCTCCGAGCAGATCCGCGCCACCATCGAGCGGGACGGCTACGTGAGTGCTCACGCGCCCCTGCCCCTGGCGCCCAGCCCCCGGCTGAGTGACGGCTGCAGGGTGGGATCAGCCATGGCTGCCCCAGGGCTCCGGGACAGCTCCCTGTCTTACGAGTGGCTGAGCCCCCCTTCCCATCAGCACTTGCCTTCCCCTGACAGTCCTGGCCTCCCTCTCCCCCCGCAGGCACAGGTCCTGAGGGATGTGGGTGGCATCGTCCTGGCCAACGCCTGTGGCCCCTGCATTGGCCAGTGGGACAGGTGAGAGGTGCATCTCGGATAGGACGGCCCCTCTGCACTGGTGTTCGGAGCCCGGGAACAGAGGGAGGGGTTACTGAGGTAGAGGAGGCTCGGGCAAGACGGGGCTGTGGCTGGGAGCAGAGGCAGAGCCTGCAGACGCCAGGCTGAAGCCTGCTGGCAGGAAACAGCCAGCGAGGTCTCCCCCCATGGACGCAGCCACCCGAGGGGAGGCCTCTGCCCTGGCTGCTGGGCTCGGGCAAGCATTGATCCCGAGCTCCCCTCCTATCTGGCGATCTGTTCAGGGGCTTTTCCACGCCCCCTTCTGTCCTGAGCTCAGCATGAGAACCCCGCAGGAGCCCGGCCCATCTGGCCCCCGGAGGCCAGGTGACAAGGCCAGGTGTCCCTAACCTTGTCCTTGTGGCCCGGCAGGAAGGACATCAAGAAGGGGGAGAAGAACACTATCGTCACGTCCTACAACAGGAACTTCACGGGCCGCAATGACGCCAACCCCGAGACCCACGCCTTCGTCACGTCCCCCGAGGTGAGACTCGGCCCTGCACGAGCTGGGGCCAGGGGAGGAGGTGGCTTCTGCGTCTCAGGACCGGGGGTTGCTCCAGTGGGGACAAGAGCCACGGGCCTTCCCACATCATGTCCCCTGCACTTCCTGCCTGCTGCTGCTGTGTGGCCCGGGGTCAGGTGTGTGTTCAGTACCAGTGGATCTCCCCGTCAGGGCCAGGTCCCAGCCCTGCCGTCTCAGCAGCTGTGTGAGCTCAGCCAAGTTGCTGACCTCTCTGAGCCTGTGATCCTGTGAGGATTATGCAAGGTGGGAGGTGCGCTGGCCTTGCGGCCCCGCCCTAAAGAACGCGTTGCAGGAATTTGAGGATGCTGGGGCTGCTCGCCCAGGAGCCGGTTGCTGGTCCCGTGAACAAACTCGTTTTTAAGCAATTTGCACTCAAACCACCTTGGAGGTCACCCATTGCCCTGCCAGAGTCCTTAGATGTTATTCTCTCTTGCCCTGCATGTTCACGAGTTTAAGTTTCTTATTTTTTGATACCAACAGTAAAGGGGTCAGGAGGATTTTTTAATATTCAAACTCACATAACCCTTAGCAGTCACTGTTTCATTTTTAAGTTTTATGTGTTTGAAAGAGAATTAGAGAGAGAGGTAGAGACAGAGAGGCCTTCCATCTGCTGCTTCCCTTCCCAAATGGCTGCAGAGGCCAGAGCTGAGCTGATCCAAAGCCAGGAGCCAGAAGCTTCTTCCATCCTCCCACACAGGTGCAGGGGCCCAAGGACTCGGGCTGTCTTCTGCTTCCCAGGACTTTAGCAGGGAGCTGGATCAGAAGCCAGGACTTGACCCGGCACCCATATGGGATGCCAGCCCTGCAGGCCAGAGCTTTAACCCACTGTGCCACAGCGCCAGCCCCAGGATGTGTTTTAAAAACAGTGAAGTCTCCTTGGGCCCTGCACCCCATGGGAGACCAGGAAAAGCACCTGGCTCCTGGCTCCTGCCATCGGATCAGCGCGGTGCGCCAGCCGCAGCGCGCCAGCGGCCATTGGAGGGTGAACCAACGGCAAAGGAAGACCTTTCTCTCTGTCTCTCTCTCTCACTGTCCACTCTGCCTGTCAAAAAACAAAACAAAAAAACAAAACAAAAAACAGTGAAGCCTCACGTCATTGGCCTGGGCCCTGGGGGCTGTGTGCCCCTGCCATCGGGGCCCCGTGGCCATCTCCCTTAAGTCTTTCACCTCAGAGCTCCAGGAACACTGCTGAGTGAGCGAAGGCCCGCCCCGTGCAGAGCTAGCAGCAGCAGCACCCCCATGCCAGGCCCCACGGAGGCCAGCCCGCCTGACGCCCGGGTGCTCTGCAGGCCCGTGCCCTGTGGTCCCAGAGGACTCCTGCCTCTCTGGCTTCTAGGAAGACCACAGAAGTCTCCTGGCTTCCATGCCCAGGAGCTAGACTTGTGCTGGGAGGGGACAGGAGCAGTGTTTGATGCTGACCACCATTTCAGATCGTCACAGCCCTGGCCATCGCGGGAACCCTCAAGTTCAACCCAGAGACCGATTTCCTGACAGGCAAGGACGGCAAGAAGTTCAAGCTGGAGGCGCCGGATGCCGATGAGCTTCCCCGTGCGGTGAGCGGGCACTGCCACGGGCCCCCCCCAGCCCAGGCCACTCACTGTGTGGCTGAGGCCGGCCCCCCCACGTAGGCAGGGACAGCATTGATGTGAACAAAGCAGCTACGTTCCCTGGGAGGGCAAGGCCAGGCACGGAGGGCCTGCACCAACATCCCTGTCCCCTGCTACAGGAATTTGACCCCGGGCAGGACACCTACCAGCATCCCCCCAAGGACAGCAGCGGGCAGCGGGTGGACGTGAGCCCCACCAGCCAGCGCCTGCAGCTGCTGGAGCCTTTCGACAAGTGGGACGGCCAAGACCTGGAGGACCTGCAGATCCTTATCAAGGTCAGGACGCTGGCTGGGTGGAGCTGGACACCTGACCAGCTGCCGCCTGGGCTTCGCCTCTCCAGTGCGTGTGGATGCGGCACAGTGGCTCCCCGGAGCTCTGGAAGCTACGGGCAGGCTCTAACCTGTCTGGGAGCTGAGCAGGCCTCATACCCACACCTGACCTGTGTGTCTCCTGTGGGCACTCGGCGACTGCCAGTGACCAGACAGGTTCCCAGACTTCTCTGTCCAGCCTGGGCACCTGTGAGCTGGGGCTGGTCCTGAAGGGTTAGCAAGCCGCTTCCCTGTTCAGCTTGTCCCCAAGACCGAGCAGCCAGAGGGGCAGGCTGAGTGATGGCCATGGCTGAGCCACGTGGTCTGGGTGAGGGTTCCAGGCCTGCCGACCAGCCGCGAGCCTGTCGTGCTTCTCCCTGCCCCCCGACCCAGGCCCTGGGCCCCTGCCTCCCTATGGGAGGCGTCCTTCATCCACTCAGCCACCTCCTAACCTCCGTCCCCTCTGCTTGCCCATGTAAGGTCAAAGGAAAGTGTACTACTGATCACATCTCGGCCGCCGGCCCCTGGCTCAAGTTCCGTGGGCACCTGGACAACATCTCCAACAACCTGCTCATCGGCGCCATCAACATTGAAAACGGCAAGGCCAACTCTGTGCGCAATGCTGTCACCCAGGAGTTTGGCCCCGTCCCCGACACTGCCCGCTACTACAAGGTGGGTCAGAGATGGCAGGGACAGCACAGGCACAGGGGGCTGTGTGGGGAGCAGAAGCTGGGCAGGAGGCCAGGCGAGCCAGGGTGTGGCCATCTGGAAGGGACAGGAGTGCTGGACCCCGGGAAGGAAGGAGGCTCGGGTGGGTGGGGCCGGGTGCACACCCTGGGGAGGCCCTGCCCCGGGGAGCTGCTGAGGGGAGTGCCTGCAGGAGGCGTCTGGCCCCTCAGGAGGTTGAGACCTCAGCACACAGGAAGAGGAGCTGACTGGGGAGGCAGGGGCAGAAGGCCACAGGGGCTCTCCAAGAGCAAGAGGGTGGGTACGTGGCCAGGCTGTGAGCTGGGGGCAAGGTCAGGGGAGCAGAGGTGCTGCCCTGGGCCACAGCCTGCGCTGGAGGCCAATTCTTTCTGCTGTGTGAAACAGAAGTGGGACTAAGCCCAGGTCATGGCCATCAGGGTCGGGGTGCCTGGCTGAGCGGGTACTCCTGGGAAGGGAGCCTGCAGCCCAGCTCGGCAGAGAGCAGTGCCCCGGTGTAGGGCAGCAGTGCCTGCAGCACGGCCCGCTGCTCTGGGCTCCGCTCACACACCGTGGCCCTCCACCCCACACTGCCTCCACGCTGCCCACTGACGGGTGGGTCACATCTCCCTGGGCCCTGACTCACACCTAACTTTACCTGCCCTCCGGAAGCCAGGCAGAGGGAGAGGGGCCTCCAGCCCCTTGGCCCACAGACCTCCGGCTGCCTAGGCCTGTGGGGATGGCACCTTCCTCTGCCTCACGCGCTCTCCCTGGCTCATCTGACAGAAACACGGCATCAGGTGGGTGGTGATTGGTGATGAGAACTACGGCGAGGGCTCGAGCCGGGAGCACGCAGCGCTGGAGCCGCGTCACCTCGGGGGCCGGGCCATCATCACCAAGAGCTTCGCCAGGATCCACGGTGAGTGGGTGCCCTCGTGGTGGCTCCAGGTCACTCACCCTGCCAGGGGCCAGGCTGGGCCCGCCACAGCCCCTCAGTTTGTGCTGAGCGAGTCAGGGCCCACAGCTCCCATCCTGCCAGCACGGGTCTTGCTTCACAGACTGAGCAGCTGAGACCCAGGAACCTTCTCTTGTGAACACAGCAGCACCCCTACCTGTTTAGGTGTCCCTAGTGGAGGGACACCCGCCTCTGGGGTCAAACAGACCTGTGCCCGGAGTCACTGCCCCCGGGGCTGGCGAGGCCCCCTGGGCAGGGGAGAGTGGGGCCTCCGCTGACCACCTGTGCCTCTGCCTTCCAGAAACCAACCTGAAGAAGCAGGGCCTACTGCCCCTCACCTTCGCAGACCCTGCCGACTACAACAAGATCCACCCTGTGGACAAGCTGACCATCCAGGGCCTGAAGGACTTTGCCCCCGGCAAGGTCAGCGGGCGGAGGGAGGAGGGCTGACAGCCCAGGGAGCTCCCAGGAGGGGGGGGCTGTCTTGCTTCCCCTCCCGCACCCTGCCCCTGCCCACACCGGTTCCGGCTAGGCCTCCCACCCCGCCTGCCCACGCGGTGCCCCACTTCCCACCCACACCTGCCCCCTCTTGCAGCCCCTGAAGTGCATCATCAAGCACCCCAACGGGACCCAGGAGACCATCCTGCTGAACCACACCTTCAATGAGACCCAGATCGAGTGGTTCCGCGCCGGCAGCGCGCTCAACAGGATGAAGGAGCTGCAGCAGTGAGGCCGCACCCGCCCAACCATGCAGGCCTCAGTGCTCGCGTTGACCGACCAGATCTGACCATCCAGGCCATGGCTTCCTGCCTGCCCCTCAGCCCGGAGCGACGCACGGCTGAGGGGCTCCATACGGTCTTCAGCCCTCACCCCCGTCGCCGGTCTGGTTCAGATCTCGAGCGGCCCCTGCAACTGTATTTATTTTTGATGACAACACTCCCTTCTAAAGAAGTTTTTACTCTGCCTGATCTATCCCTGATGGCTGAAAATTTGAGAGAACTTTTGTTCCTGCAAGGAAAATAAGAATCAAATTCAGCGACTCGTCCTGTGTGTGAGTGGTTGGTGTCTGTGCCATTTGTTGTCAACTAGGGAAGGTCCTTTCAGCCAAAGTCAGTGACCCGGGCACCGCTGACCCCAGGCCAGGTCCCCTCCCACCCTAGCCCACTCCTCCCTGCAGGGCAGCCCCTGGTGAGCAAGCCTGTCCCAGGTCCCACGCCCAGGAGACGTGGCGGCCCGGCACTGAACCTGGGTAACGCTGAGTGCGACACAAGTGTCCGGTGCTGGCAGACGTGAGGGACAGGAGGAAGCTGGTGAAGCCGTTCTGCCCGCTCTGCGTGTCACTGCAGACCCTGTCACCTCTGGTCTTGTTTATTAGTGAGAAGTCCGTGGGGCAGCTCCAGGAGGGGACAGGCCGGCGGCACTCCGAGCCCCCACCCCCGGCTCCAGGCAACACTCTTCTCTTCAGCGTCTCCTGGGCACTCCGTCCCCAACGGTGGGCTGCACCACAGTCCGAGTAGAGGCGGGGTCTGCTGCTGAGCCCCAGGGCTAATTGCTGGTCCACCAGGAGAGGAGGCCCAGGCCCGGCTCACTGATGGACCCCTGCCCGGGGAGAGAACAGACACGTCTCATTCAGGGCTCGACCACCCCAGCCAAGAGGTGCAGCTGCAGGGGCCACACAACACCCAGGGCCTGGGGAGAGCCCTGCCGCTGTCCTGACCGGCACGCACTCAGCCCCTCCTGCCCCATCCTCCCAAGGCCTCAGTGGGCTCAGGCAGCCCTCACACCTAGGCCTGCCGGGAAGGCCGGGTGACCACTCTCGCCTGGAATTCCTTCAGCTAAGGGCTTCGATCCCTCCCAAGCCTTCACCCACTGTGTGCTGCCCCTCTGGCAGGGAGGGGTCACTCCCACCCCCACCCCCCAACAGCTGCAGTAGCTTCGTCACCCACAGTGCCACCTGCAGAAAAAGGCTCCCCAGGGACAGGTGGCCGCCAAGACCCCACAAGAGGCCGAGATGCTGGGGGAACCCCTGGTGCCCCCACCCCCAGCAGTGCCCCTCACCACCAGTGTGTACGGAGCCTCCTTCTTGGGCAGCTCCTCGCTGGAAGAGGTGGCCTCGGCCGAGCTGGGCCCCGTGGGAGACGTGTCCACAAAGCTCTCGTCCACCACCCGGAAGCGGATCTCCTCGCCAGTGTCCATGTACAGGTCGTGTGCTCCTTCCTCTGTCTCGTACTCCCACACCCACACCTGCTCGGCTTCATCACTGGAGGCCAGAGGTCAAGGCAACAACCAGGCCATGTGGGGCGCCTGGAGCATGGGGGTGGAGACCCCTCTACAGGAAGTCAGGAAAGCAGGTCCCGGCCCCCGGCGTGAGAAGCCGGAGCTCTGGGGTGCCAGGGCCCTGGATGGGGGGCTTGGGGCCAGCAGGAGGAGGGGGTCACAGCACAAACCCCACTTCGGAGGTGGGGGTGACCACGCTTCTTGCTGCCTGCGGTGCCTCCACCCCTTTTCACCCAGGCCTCCTGACAGTCTGGCAGGCAGAGCGCACGGATTTACCCGGGGCTGACCGTGTGGTGTGGCAGTCAGGCCGCTGCTAGTGATGCCAGCGCGCCAGTTTGCGTCCCGGCTGCTCCACTATTCAGCTCCCTGACGTGTCTGGCCCAGCCCCGGCCACTGCAGTCATTTGGGGAGTGACCCAGCACATGGAAGGTGTCTCTCCCTCTTTCTGCAACTAAAACCTTGCCTTGTCAGGAGGACATGGTAGGTGAGATGCGGTCGCCCACCCGAGGGCCCCAGTCTGGCAGCAGTCACAGGCAGACCCTGTCCCCGCCCTGCACAGGCCCAAGCAGAGCCTGCCATCCATGCAGCCCTCCCTGGGGCCCTGGGCAGAGGCCAGGCTGAGGGACACTGCTGCCCTCTAGTGGCAGTCCCGCTGCTGGCTTGCCCGTGCAGAGCCAGGCCAGGTGGGTGCAGTTGTGGCAGGGTGGGGTTCTGCCTGGTGGGGTCCCACAGAAACAGAAGTACCGGCGCAGCAGGTGAGGGCTGGGAGGGGGACAACCCAGCCAGGCAAGTGTGGGGAGCAACTGGGAGCAACTCGGACTAGACTAAGTTACTGGAACTAAGACTTATTCTATGCATCTGCTCTCCCACAATATGGCGCTGAGAAGGGAGAAACAGCTTCTACACAGCTGCCTCCAGTTCAACCAATAAACAGCAGAACCTGCTCCTGATTGGAGGAGAGCAGCGTACTCGGCGTGTGGGCAGCCGAGTTGGGATTGGTGGAAGAGGACTATAAAGGAGGAGAGACAACATGCACCAGGAACATCTAAAGGGAACATCTGTGCAGCCCCCGAGAGAGCCGGCCGGCGGTGTGCCACTCCCCCGCGGAAGTCAGGAAAGTGGCAGGGGGAACCGCCCTTCCACGGAGGTGGAAGGGACGGTAGCCAACCCGGGAAGAACCAGCAGCAAACCTGGGAAGGGCCGAGCAGACAGAAGAACAGTGCAGGGTCCTGTGTCATTCCTCCACGAAGAGGGGGAGCGACAGGCAAGGCCGCACCCGTCAGAAAGGCGGCGGTGGGCAGCCGGGGCCAGCCTCTGGGGGAAGTGGACAGGAAGTAAGGGCGCCCCCAGGCCAGCCGGTGTGCAGCTGGCAACCACACACACGGCGCTGGTCAGTGCAGGAACAGGAGGCGGCGGCTCGCTTCCAGACCCCAGTGAAGGCCAGGGGGGCCACCCCTTCCACTGGAGGGGCCTGAGCTCCCCATGACCCCTTAACCGTGGGAGGATACAATTTGGCTGGCTGCTGCAGTGACTCTGGGGGGATGAGAATGTCATCGAAGAAGCCGAGAGAGACTGGAAGAAACGAAGGTGACGGCGTGGGACAGAGGCTCATGTCAACAGCCCAACAATGAGGGGTGTGGACAGCAACAGGTAAGTGAGCCCCTTACCCAGTGCGGCCCTTGGTGGGACCATGGTGGGACCATGGAGGTCCGGTCCCTCCCCACCACGGAGCCCACGCCTCTGCGCACATCACGCCCCTAAGCAGCCCAGGACAAAGCCCCAAGCATCCAGACACTGAAACCTGAGGGACACTGCACACAGCAGGACCAGCGGGCACAAGGACCCCCCAGCACCTCCACCCCGAGGTCCCGAGTCACAGCCTCCAGCAGAGCCTCACAGCCGAGGTCCTCGTCCAGTCCGTGAGAACCGGGGAAGGCCGACCTTGCCATCTGAGCCCTCCGCGACTCTGCGGACGGCACAGGCCCCCTCACCGCCGTGCCCAAGGGGTCAGGCCTGCCTTACCGTGCACTCCCTCCGGGCTGCAGCCTTTGATCGTCCCGATCAGAATCTCGTCCAGGAAGGGATGGAAGACCACATAGCGAAAATGCACTGCAAGCAAAGCAGCACGCCGTCGGGGACAGCGTGTCCACCCTCGCCACCAACCCCTCGCCGTGCTGCTCCAGGGGCCTGCCCACCCAAGTCCCTGTGAGCCCAGACGTGACGGCTGAGCCAGAAGACCCCCACCCCGCCCCTGCCAAGTCACAGCTGGGTTCCCAGAAGGCACAACAGCGGGCTGCTCCCAAATGCGCTAAGTCTCTCTTGAGTGGGGGATGGCCTCAAGGTCAACTGCCACCTTCCCCCAGGCTCCCGTTTAGTCTAAAAAAGGCAGAAGCAACTGGCAAAGGGACCAGGTTTGGAAGCAAGTCCTTGTCCCCTGCGGCTTTGGAAGGCCGCCCCGGGCAGAACCCTGACCCGGAACGGATGCTGAAGATGTCTGGAATGGGGGAAGGGAGCAAAAGTGGCTCTGGGTCCTCAGACCGCCCGGGGTAGGGCCCCCCTCACCCGACCCCGGGAAAATGCCAGGCAGCTGGGCCCACATCACAGCCTCTGAGCCCGGCCCCGCAGCAGCCTGGGTGTCACTCGACGCTCACACATCCTGCCCAGAGGGTGTGCCCACACTAACCCCGAGAGTAGGGGGGTGCTGCCTGCCACCTGCCCCCTGCTCTCGTCATGCCTCTGGGCCAGATGTTTCCACGTCGGGAGAAGAGGCCCGCTAAGTCACACAGCTGTTCTGCCGGGGGGCGGGGTGGGGGCACCAGGTTGTTTTTCTGTTTTTGACTTTTTTTGAAAGGCAGAGCGACAAACACAGGTCTTCTACTTGCAGGTTCACTCCCCAAATGCCTACAACAGCCAGAGCTGGGCCAGGCCAAAGCCAGGAACCCGCAACTCAATCCAGGTCTCCCAGGTGAGTGGGCAGGGAGCGGGATCAGAGCAGAGCAGCCAGGACCTGAGCCAGTGCTCCAGATCTGGGATGCCAGAGTCACAGGCAGTGGCTAAACCGCTGCGTCACCGCGCCGGTCCCCTGGGAGATTCCAGTCGCACACACACTTCCAGCAGCCGCCCAGCCCACCAGCACCCCCTCACAGGGCACAGGGCCCTCCATGCTGCTTCCCCAGGGCCCAGCAGGCAGTGGGGCGTGAAGAGACCAACATCAGAGCCGGCACGGACACAAGCACTCCCCACCCCGCCACTGCCACCCGTCCCGAGACCTCGCATGCAGCTCGGGCTAATCCACCCTCACGGAGCCCCTGGCAGGTCGTGCAAGGCCTGGGTGGGGACAGCACAGGGAGCTCTGGTCTGTGAAAGCCAAGTGTGGGCAGCCCGCACGCCCATCAGCAGGGGGATGCATAGACAGCCGTGGCGTACACCTCCGAGAACGGGCACCCCGACGCGCTACCACACAGACGAACCTTGAGGACTCTGAAGTGGAGGAAGCCAGACACAGGAGGGCTCGTGGCAGAGCCTGCGAGGGCCAGGGCTGTGGCGGACCAGGTAAGGCTGCCGCCTGCAGCGCCGGCATCCCACACGGGTGCTGGTTCCTGTCCCAGCTGCTCCACTTCCCACCCAGCTCTCTGCCAACGCACTTGCAAAGGCAGCGGAGGATGGCCCAAGTGCTTGGGTCCCTGCACCCATGTGGAGACCTAGAAGAAGCTCCTGGCTTCGGATCAGCCCAGCTCCAGCCGTTGAGGCCATTTGGGGAGTGAAACACAGGATGGAGATCTGTCTCTCCCTTTCTCTTCCTGGGAAACTCTGCCTTTCAAATAAATACATCTTTTTTAAAAATTAAAAAATAGGCGGGCGCCGCAGCTCAACAGGCTAATCCTCCGCCTTGCGGCGCCGGCACACCAGGTTCTAGTCACGGTCGGGGCGCCGGATTCTGTGCCGGTTGCCCCTCTTCCAGGCCAGCCCTCTGCTGTGGCCCGGGAGTGCAGTGGAGGATGGCCCAGGTGCTTGGGCCCTGCACCCCATGGGAGACCAGGAGAAGTACCTGGTTTCTGCCATCGGATCAGTGCAGTGCGCCAGCCGCGGCGGCCATTGGAGGGTGAACCAACGGCAAAGGAAGACCTTTCTCTCTGTCTCTCTCTCACTGTCCACTCTGCCTGTCAAAAAAATTTTTAAAAAAAATTAAAAAAATAAGGAATCTACCGATTGAAATGTTCAGAATCGACAAAGCCGCAGAAACAAGCAGACTGGTGTCTCCGGGGCTGGGAAGGGCGACAGGACTGCCTGCGAGTGGGAAGGTGGCTTCTTCCTGGGGTGAGGCCAGCACCCTGGGACTGGAGGGTGGCGACAGCATCTACTGTGCCAACCCACCAGCCCGTGAGCTCGCGAAGGCGCGCCCTACCTCACGTGAACGCTACCTCAACTGAAAAATAAAGGGGAGGGGCCGGCGCCGTGGCGTAGCCTGCAGTGCCAGCACCCCTCACGGGCACCGGTTCATAGTCCCACTGCTCCACTTCCAATCCAGCTCCCAGCTAATGGCCTGGGAAAAGCAGCAGGAGATGGCTCAAAGTGTGCCCTCCCAGCCATGTGGGAGACCCGGATGAAGCTCCTGGCTTCCGGCTGGCCTGCCCCCTGCTGTTGTGGCCATCTGGGGAGTGAATCAGTGGATGAAAGATCTAACTCTGCCTTTCAAAGAAATGAAATAAAAATACATAAAAAATAGAAGTGGGAGGGGCCGATGTTGTAGTGTCGTGGATGAAGCAGCTGTCTGCAACCTAGGTGGGCACCAGTTCGAGTCCCGGCTGCTCCACTTCCTATTCAGCTCCCGGATGAAGTGCCTGGGCCCCTGCACCATGAGGGAGCCCTGGATGAAGCTCCAAGCTCCTGGCCCAGTCCCAGCTGTTGTGGCCATTTAGGGAGAGAACCAGCAAATGAACAAGCTCTGTCTCTCCCTCTTTAACTCGGCTTTTCAAAATAAATAAATACACACATAAGTCAAAACAGCGGTGCAAACCCTACACCAGGTGTCAGAAATCAAGCGAGCAGAGATCCCTGCGACCTCACTTCTCCTCGAGGCCCTCGTGCCTGTGACCACCTGTCTCCTGGACAGCCAGGCCCCGTCCAGTGCACACCAGGCTTGGCCTGGTGGCCTCCTCTGTGGCCAGGGGCCCTCAAGACGGCTTCCATGCCACGGTCTGATTTTTCTACTCATACAGACAGCCTGTTGCGCTCTCTGCACCGCACGGCAACACCGTGTGGACCAGTGAGCTCTCGGGATGCCGGGACAGACGCCTGGCAGCCTCCCGGCACGTGCCGGAATGCAGACACCCCTGCACTGGGCGCACACCAAAGCTCGCAAGGTCAGTGCTAAGCTTTGCGTCCTGTGCCCCTGAGGTCCCCCCCGGCCTGCTCTTCCGTTCCCTCTGCCTCTCTCTTCTTTTTTTTTTTTTTTTTTTGACAGGCAGAGTGGACAGTGAGAGAGAGAGACAGAGAGAAAGGTCTTCCTTTGCCGTTGGTTCACCCTCCAATGGCCGCCGCGGCCAGCGCGCTGCGGCCGGCGCACCGCGCTGATCCGATGGCAGGAGCCAGGAGCCAGGTACTTTTCCTGGTCTCCCATGGGGTGCAGGGCCCAAGCACCTGGGCCATCCTCCACTGCACTCCCTGGCCACAGCAGAGGGCTGGCCTGGAAGAGGGGCAACCGGGACAGAATCCGGCGCCCCGACCGGGACTAGAACCCGGTGTGCCGGCGCCGCTAGGCGGAGGATTAGCCTAGTGAGCCGCGGCGCCGGCCTGCCTCTCTCTTCTAACCGCGAGGGCCACTCCGGCGTCCCCACGCTCCTGGCCTGCCCTCTCCCAGGGCAGTGAGTGGCCAGAGCACCAGGCAGACAGGGCTTGGCAGTGGGCGGGAGGAGGGGCACAGCCATGGACCACAGCCTCGGACCCAGAGAGGCCTTGAGAGTCGCCGATCCACCCCCGCCCCGGCAGACGCTCAGGCCGAGGGGAGGGGGCTGCCCACTTCCAGGGTCCCCCGGTGGGACAGGACCCCGGCCATCCCTGCCAGGAGCCCCAGCCCCGAGAAGACGCCTACCTTTGGTGTGCGAGGCGCCGTCGCCTGGAAACACGTAGGCGTCCTCCAGCTTGGTGATGTCGAAGAGGCAGATGCAGAGTCCCACGTTGTACACCACCTGCGCCGCGACACACGGTGACCGCGGGCTGCCGCCACCTCCCGCCCCCGCCCATCCAAGCCGCAGCGCCTCCAGGACCGGCGCCCGGCTCCGCCCACCGGGCCGGGGCCCTGCACACCGCTCTCCCACCCACAAACCCTCTGGTCAGCGCCTCCCGGCCAGCAGGGCTCAGCCTGGCCGCCGGCTGCCACCACAGCTGCCTGACCCCCTCGCTGCGGACGCGGCTCCCTCGTGCCACAGGTTCGCGAGCACCAGTCCCTGGCAGCGTGCACCCCAACTCGTCACGCCCAACGAAGGGACCCCCGCTCCGCCTGCTGGTCGGGACACCGCCCCGCCACTCATCCACTCCATCAACAGACAGGCATGGAGCAGGCAGGCAGGCAGAGGTAGAGAGGGAACAGAGCCGTGACGGGCGCGCGCTAAGCCGGGGCCACCTGCATCCCGCGTCAGACGGCTGGTCCGCGCCCCAGCGGCGGCGCACCTGCGGCGGGCCGGCAACTCGCCGCAGACGAAGGGACCCGCGCTGTGCGAGCGCGCACGCCCCGGGCACGAGCCCCCTTCTCAGGCCCGTCCTCGGCCCCTCCCCCGCTCCCCGGCCAGCCCCCGTGAGGCACGCGCCGCCCCGCACCTTGTTGGCCAGCTTCTTGTTCAGCTCCTCGGCGATGGAGTCGTTGAGCTTCCTCTCAAACTGCCAGGGGGGGATCCGCACGGTGTCCACCATCTCCACCAGGACGAACATCCCGGCCTGCGCTGGCGGCTCTGCGAGAGGGACGGGCGGTCACGCACCGGGGCCTGGGGTCGTGGGAGCCCCGTGCCCGACCGGCCCCCCTCAGGCCAACAGCGGGGCTGCGCGGTAGCGTCTGCGGCGCCCGGCGAGGGCCATGCTCGGCTGCGGAAGCGACGGGAAACAGAGGCCCGGCGGGCAGCGCCCTCGCTCGAGCGCACGGCACGAGAGCCCCTCCGCCCCGCGCCCGCACCACGCGCCGCCGCCACGCACCGCGCACGGCACGCAGCTGCGGGAGTTAACCACCGTGCGCGAGATTCCGAATCCCGTCGCTTCCGGAGAGCCGACCAATAAGAAGCTTCTGCCCGCCCCCAGACGCGGGGCGGGGCTCTCTACAGGCTGCCGCACGGGGAGGGGCGGGGCCTCCCCGGGAAGACCCGGCGGCGCCTCTCGTTGCTAGGCAACCCCTGCCGCTCTCCCGGGCTAGGCCACCCCTTGCTTGCGGGTCTCCGCATCCGGAACGATCCTTGCAAAACGCAAGTCGGCAATGCTTCCGACCTTCCGCCCGGAGTCGGGGAGCCCTGACAGGGAAGTAGAACGGAGGGACCCTTCCGGGGTGATGGAAATATTCTCGACCCCCTTTTAGCTCTTCGTAGAGCTGACAGCTCTCATCAGACTCCGTGCATTTCATTGTAGGCAGATTACATCTCAATTTGAAGTGATAATCAATTGGGACTATATATATAGTCTCTATATAGTGTATGTATATAGAATATATAACAGTGCATATATATATAGTATACACACGCGCGCGCACACACACACACACACACACACACACTCCTCTGTAGCTTCCCGCTGAACTGAGAATAAAGTCCAAAACCTTCCTTCCTGGCGGCTCACTGGGCTCTGTGCGATCTGGCCCTGGCACCTCTCTCCAGCTTTGCCCGTTCTGTTCCCCCCAGGATCCTGTCCTGTCCCTCTGACAGGACACTAATGCGGGCTAAGAGAACTCAGCAAGCTGTCCAGGGCCACCGGCTGCCACGTGCCAGAGATGAGCCCCTCTAAGCCTATACCCGTGCTGCCTCTAAGAGTTGGTGGAAGCGCCGGCGCCATGGCTCACTTGGTTAATCCTCCGCCTGCGGCGCCCGCATCCCATGTGGGTACCGGGTTCTAGGCCTGGTTGCTCCTCTTCCAGGCCAGCTCTCTGCTGTGGCCCGGGAAGGCAGTGGAGGATGGCCCAGGTGCTTGGGCCCTGCACCCGTGTGGGATACCAGGAGGAAGCACCTGGCTCCTGGCTTAGGATCTGCACAGCACCGGCCATGGCGGCCATCTGGGGGGTGAACCAACAGAAAAAAAGAAGACCTTTCTCTCTGTCTCTCTCTCTCGCTAACTCTGCCTGTCAAAAAATAAAAATAATATAAAATTGGTGGATATGGGAATAACTGGATTTTCATTTTGTTTTTTTATTTGAAAGTGAGAATTACAGAGAAAGAGGGAGAGGCAGAGGTCTCCCATCCACTGGTTCACTCCCTCAGATGGCCTCAACAGCCAGCACTGGGCCAGGCCAAGGCTAGGAGCCAGGAGCTTCTTCGGGGTCTCCCACATGGGTGCAGGGGCCCAAGCACTTGTACCACCTGCTGCTGCTTTTCCCAGGCCATAGTAGAGAGCTGGATCAGTGGGAAAGCAGCCAGGACCCAAACCAGCACCCATATGAGATACCAGCATCACAGATGGCGGCTTTACGCACTACGCCATCAAAGTTACAATTTGAGGGGCTGGCATTTGGGGTGCAATGGGTTAAGACACCACCTGCCATGCCGGCATCCCATGTGAGTGCTGGTTTGAGTCCCTGCTGCTTCACTTCCGATCCAGCTCCCTGCTAATGCACCCGGGAAAGCAGTGGAGGATGGTCCAGGTGCGTGAGCCCCTGCACCCACGTGGGAGACCTGGATGGAGCTCCAGGTTCCTGGATGTGGTCTGGCCCTGCCCCAGCCGCTGTGGCCATTTGGGGAGTGGACCAGCAGGTGGGAGATATCTCTCTCCCTCTCTCTGTAAGTCAGCAATTTCAGAACTTCAAAAGCTCCTTGGAGCAGGTGACAGAGACACTTGGAAGTGCTTGGTGCTTTGATTTGCTGGTTTCACAGCACAGAGAACTCTCAGTGTGACTGGCTGTATCTTCAGGTCTGTCTGCTACTTTATTTATTTTTTAAAACATCTATTTATTTATTTATTTGAAAGTTAGAGCTACAGAGATATAGAGGCAGAGGGAGAGAGGGAAATAAGTCTTCTGTCCACTGATTCACTCCCTAGATGGCCACTATGGCCGGAGCTGCACCAATCTGAAGCCAGAAGCCAGGAGCTTCCCCCAGGTCTTCCCATGTGGGTGCAAGGGCCCAAGGACTTGAGCCATCTTCTACTGCTTTCCCAGGCCACAGCAGAGAGCTGGATCAGAAGTGGAGCAGCCGGGGCCGGCGCCGTGGCTCACTAGGCTAATTCACCTGCAGCGCCAGTACTCTGGATTCTAGTCCTGGTTGGGGCGCCGGTTCCATCTGGTTGCTCCTCTTCCAGTCCAGCTCTCAGCTGTGGCCCGGAAGGGCAGTGGAGGATGGCCCAAGTGCTTGGGCCGTGCACCCGCAAGGGAGACCAGGAGAAGCACCTGGCTCCTGCCTTTGGAAGGGGGAGGGGGAAGAAGGGAGGAGGAGGATGGGGGAGGGGGGGGAGGAGGAGCCGGGACTCGAACCAGTGCCCATATGGGATGCCGGCGGCTTTACCCACTACGCCACAGCACTGGCCCCCTGACCTCCTTTAGACAGGGGCAAATGCTACTGTAGCTCTTCCCCCCCACCACTCCCAGCAGGTGTTAGGCAGGGCTGTTTCCGCCTCTCCTTCTCCCAGATGCCCCTCGCTATTCCACTCCCACTGCCCTTTCATTGCTCCCCTGGAGCTAAGCCTCAGTCTCTCCTACAGTGACCTCCACACTCTCACAAAACCCCCTTCCCTTTGTAAGCCTCCTTGCCTCCCAGCTTGGACAGAGCCCAGCCTCCCTCTGAGCCTCACCCCAGTGGAACAATGCCCTTTTACAGCTTCGATCAACCGCCTCTTCTTTACTTGGAAAACTCCTACTCCTCCAACAGAACCTGTGGCGCCAGCATCCCATGTGGGTGCCATTCTCCTTGCTTGATTCATTCAACACACCGTCGGGCCCAGCCGTTGCAGGTCCAATGGGGAAGAGGAGCTGAGTCCTGGGCCCACCTTCAGCTCACAGTGGTTGGGGCTGAGGGGCAATGGGAGAGTCTGTGTTCTCAAAACCAGAAGAATTTCAGCAGATTTACATGGGAGATGACAGCTGATAAGCTATGAGATTAGAGATCAAATGAGGTCCAGATCATTATGATAGCAACAACTAATATTTGGGGCCAGCTCTGTAGCAAGCTAGGCTAGGCCTCTGCCTGTAGCGCCAGCATCCCATATGGGTGCTGGTTCATGTCCCAGCTGCTCCTCTTCCAGCTCTCTGCTATGGCCCGGGAAGGCAGTGGAGGATGGCCAAAGTGCTTGGACCCCTGCACCCACATGGGAGACCAAGAAGAAGCTCCTGGCTCCTGGCTTCGGACTGGCGCAGCTCCGGCCGTTGCAGCCATATGGGGAGTGAACGAACGGAAGGAAGACCTTTCTCTCTATCTCTCCCTCTTGCTGCCTGTAACTCTAACTCAAATAAATAAGTAAAATCTTTAAAAAAAAAAAAAAAAAAGCAACTGGCCGGCGCCGTGGCTCACTAGGCTAATCCTCTGCCTTGTGGCGCCGGCACACCGGGTTCTAGTCCTGGTCGGGGCGCCGGATTCTGTCCCAGTTGCTCCTCTTCCAGGCCAGCTCTCTGCTGTGGCCCTGGAGTGCAGTGGAGGATGGCCCAAGTGCTTGGGCCCTGCACCCCATGGGAGACCAGGAGAAGCACCTGGCTCCTGCCTTCGGATCAGCGCGGTGCACTGGCCGCAGCGCGCCAGCTGCAGTGGCCATTGGAGGGTGAACCAACGGCAAAAGGAAGACCTTTCTCTCTGTCTCTCTCTCACTGTCCACTCTGCCTGTCAAAAAAAAAAAAAAAAAAAAAAAAAAAGCAACTAAGATGATTGAGCACTTGTTATAAGCCAAGCATTGTTTATTTCACAGGTATGGCTGCTCCTCGGCTGGTGTCAGTAAACTCATAAGTTCACAGTAACATAAGTAACAACTGCATTTAGGGGCGGGCATTCGGCTTAGTGGTGTGGAAGCTGCTTGATTTGCCCACGTCCCGCATCAGAGTGTCTGGGTTACAGTCCCGGCTTCTCTCCGGATTCCAGCTCCCTGCTAATTCGCACCTTGGGAGGGAGCAGGTGATGGCTCGAGTAGTTGAGTCCTCGTTAGCCACTTCAGAGACTGGAATTGAATTCCCAGCTCCTGGCTTTGATCTGGTCCAGCCCCGATCACTGTGGGCATGTGGGGAATAAGCTAGCACATGGGAGATCTCTGTCTCTGTCTCTGTCTCTGCCTTTCAAATAAAACAATAAAAACTTTTTTAAACTGCATTTAGTACACCTAACCTAATAAGTCACGCCTACCTTAAATATGCTCAGGACATTTACATTAACTTACAGCTGAGCAAATTCCTCTAACCCAAAGCCTATTCCACGAAAGCATTGACTATCTCATGTAATTTCTTTTTCTAAAAAAAAAATATTTATTTATTTATTTGAAAGGCAGAGGTACAGAGATATAGAGGCAGAGAAAGGTCTTCCATCAGCTGGTTCACCCCCCCAACTGGCCACAACGGCCGGAGCTGCGCTGATCCAAAGCCAGGAGCCAGGAGCTTCTTCCGGGTCTCCCATGTGGGTGCAGGGGCCCAAGGACTTGGGCCATCCTCCACTGCTTTCCCAGGCCACAGCAGAGAGCTGGATCGGAAGTGGGGCAGCCGGGACTCAAACCTGCGCCCATATGGGGATGCCAGCACTGCAGGTGGTGGCTTTACCCGCTAGGCCACAGTCCAGCCCTCTCATGTAATTTCTTGAATACGGTACTGAAAGTGAAAGACAGAATGCTGCATGGGTAGCACTGCAGTCAGAACCATCTGTGTTAACTTTTATCCCCCAAAGCTCTGAGCGTGGGAACTCTTGTCGCGTCTCTTCCTCCGTGGTCTCACTCTGCCTCACTAAGGTAGAGAGAGGTGAAACAGGTCATTCAAGGTCACTCAGCTAATGGGCGGCGGAGCTTGGACTCAG